TTTATAAATGAGTGTATTTCATTTACTGCAGTGGGCGGCAGGCCATAGCTCACTGAGCGTTCTCTGAGCACATGTGTGTGTCACACGTATGCGAAGAGCGGCAGCTAAGCAGTGCATTTAACGCACACAGTGTCACTTATTGAATCGTTTGAATGTTTTAGAATGCCGACCATGATTTAGTGTATAATTTTGTGTAAGTATGTATTTCCACATTTACATTCAAATGAAAATGCAATAACTGAAATGAAGCTGATTCTAATGAAATTTTCAGTATTTTCATATTTATAAAAACTTTCATTTCAAAGATATTGAGTTTTATCAAATATGGCGAATGCATAACAAACGGTTAATTTCTTTGTTTACATTTTTTGACATTACTGTCACTTCTACCTTGTTGAATATGCCTTGCGTTTTACTAACTGTAATTGCATTTACACACATACGTACGAGTGACGATGTCCACGTTTAGATAAATCGCTTGAAGCCCTTCAGCTTTAAGTGATTCCAACAAACTTATAACACTATTCCGATCCTCCACGAAAGTGGGGACATTCCTCTTAAAAATTTTCTGAATTTTCACTAAGCATTAAATGGCAAAAATTGTAATGCCAAAGTTGGGCATTAAAAATATTTGTGTCATTACGTAAAAAAAAATGATCATTATAAATTTTTTGTCATTTCAATGACTAGTGGAAATTCGGCATAAGTCTGTAGAAAAAACCATTTGTAAATCTTTGGCCTTTCCTTCGGCTTCTGACATACTTAATTTCGTCGTTCGTTAGTAATAAAACAAAATAATAATAAAGTTCCTTAGACCTGGGTGTTTTTACAACCAAATTGCTTTTAAGGTTTAAGTGTCGCTATATTGAGTTTAAACGTGGTGTATTTTTTTGCTGCCCTAGATCCGGGCCTATTGGCACTTATGGTGAATCCGCCCCTGGCGTTTGGGTTAAAATGATTCGGGTTAAATAAATCTGCGAATGCTGTGAATCGATTTTTTAGTTGCCTGCCAATATTTTAACTTTCAAAATTAGCTAATTTGGCTTACTCATATTAGATATTGAACACACTTCCACAATAAACATAATAAATTTTATTCTTAAGTGTTGAAAGACAATTCACCTTCAAAATATTGAGATATACTACCTCTGAGTTTTTGTTTCAATGATTAAAAAACTCCAAAACAAGCTACTTCACATATTTCCGATTATTATTTTTTGTACTTTAAATTGTTATCAGAAAGTAAAGAAAACAACGAAGTACATATATTAAATTTCTCGCATTTCAGTGATCAATATACATACCTTCCAAAATTTTATTCCACTAATCTTAATATATTTGCTTTTATGTCCGCTTTGAAATGGGTTTAGTGCAAATGTGACAGAATGGGACTGAAATGACGTGGATTTTAAACTTACAAGCATTATTTTTGCAAGTAAGAACCACTTGTGTAAATTTTATTTTATATTTGCTGCTAGCGATTGTTTTCTATTGTGCTTACTTACATGGCGAGCATATTGCAAAGATTTTCAATAGAATTCATAAACCTCACCCGATTCGGTCGCAAAAAGTGAAGTTTGTTTGTTAGTTTAGATACTGATTCTTGTACACATACATATGCATTTTATATACTTTCTTTGACAAAGGATTACCTTTTTTTGTTATTTTTTGTACAACATACATACATAGTTGAACATACAAATTTGCTTGCTTTAAGCATACTAAGCCTTTAAGTGGAAACGGAGGTTTCACACAACGATTGAGGAGAAGTGATGGCGCAAGGCCGTAGATCCCGAAATATTTTCAAGGACGGCTCTAAAATGGCAACGGTAGTGGGTGCCGGGATTTCCTGAAATTTCCACTCAAATTCGCAAAAAACGATGGCATCCTTTGCGGTGTCTACTTTAACGCGTAAAAACGAGCTCCAATTAGCAACGCTAAGGACCTACCTACCGGTCTATTTGCGGCTCAACGCCGGCCAAATTAACTTAACCTAACCTACAGCCGTTTGAGAAAAAATTTAAGTCTTAAAAGGCAGTTCCAAAATACATATAACACAGAGCAGGATTTCGTATGTATGATCATTAGGGTGGTCCAAAAATGCATGCGACAAAGTAAAGTCGGAATTTTTAGGCTCTCACCCCCTAAGGTTGTTCTATACCGAAAAAATATAACCCTATTTTTTTATTTTGAAGTCAAAAAATTTTTAGGGGTCGCCCAATGCCCCCAAATTTTTCCATGTGTTTTATATGGGGAAAAAACCACTTTTCGTAGAAATAATATAGAATCCTTAAAAATCAATATTTTTCTATCGCAAAACTCTGTTTATCTGCGGGGGATTCCCAATTATAACACCCAATTCTTTGCTTTACCCTTTTTACGTCGCAACTATAATTTATAGGACCGCCAAAAACCTCGAAAAATGCAATGGATGACCAATAAAAAAAACTTTAGTATTAAAAAATGTTTAAATAAACAATTAGGTATTACTACTGAAAGTCTCCTGAAGAGAACCAGTGTTTAGTGTTTTTGGACCACCCTAATGATCACACATATGTATTTGCCCCCGGCTTCTTCATTACATTCTTCTTCATTACATGAAGCTTCATTTCAATAGCTTAACTTGATTTGGTGCTTATACCATTAAATTAACTGTTTATACACTGTGTTAAGCTGCACATTCTGCAAAGTGGATTTACAAGCTGTTTATAACTTTGGTATTTGAAATCCTATGAATACGCTAAGTGATGGCACGTGATTGCGCAAACAACAAATGTAAAGAACTAGCGCCTTTCATTGTTATTTCACACGCTCCGCTTACCGGTTAAACGGCAGCCCGCTTGCCGGCGCAAATTGTATGTTAAGCATTTGCAGCTTACATAAAACTCGGCGTCAGGTTACTTTTTTTTTGTGCCGCTCATTGCGTGGCCTCGGCCTTAGACATATTAGGGCAATTCATCTAAACGCGTGAATGTCTCTTAACAATGTAAACCTCGTAAACTTATTTAATTTTGTATCGAAAATCGGTTTATTTACGAGGTTTACGCGGTTGAAAGGCATTTACGCGTTTCCATGAATACCCATATTATTCCTCTTCAGAGAGTATAAGCTTTGAGACCTCTTTCGATCCCACTTAGGCCAAATTTGCCTAGATGTCACTAAAGATAAACACCTCTTTACCTTTTGAGTCAGTACGAAGTTCGTTTAATAACATAATTACTATTGAGATATTTGACCACTTAAGCTTACATTTTTTTTACCCTATTTTTATTGTCATCTGTATTTGTTACATTTAAACAATTGTATTAGTTATCACAAGGTACTACTTTAATAGCATGGATTATCTCTTCAACCGGGTGAAAACGTTTTGGCAGGATGTCATTTCTTTTATAAATGGGTTAGGGCGGTCCAGTCTTAGAATATAAGAGACAGCATGTTTTTTGATTTCTTCTGCAAGAGTTAGGACTTTAAGATTACGATGAGGTTACTCGTTTGTGACATAAAAAAAGTAAGTGCGCCTGGGCCCCACTGAAGAAGTGAAACTTACGTTACATATCTATTTTGTCTCATAACCCATATATGTACACACATATGTACATACACACATACCTTCCTTTCTCTTCATTTTTATCTTTACACTCTATCGATAACAAAATCGTTAGTAACATCGAACAAAATATCGATAATAGAACCATTGGTAATAATATTAATAGCAAAATTGGTTAGAAAGTCGATAAGAATGTCGATAACAAAATGGATAGCAAAATCGATAAATAATTGATAACCAAATCGATAACAAAAATCGATTAGAAAATCGATTAGAAAATCGATAAAAATATAGACAACAAAATCGATAAAAATATCAGTAACAAAATCGGTAAATAATCGATAACAAAATCCATAAAATTATCGATAACAAAACCGATAAATAATCGCTAACAAAATCGACAACAATATCGATATTAAAATTGTAAAAATATCGATAACAAATTCGATAAAAAATATCGATAATGAAATCTATAACAACATCGTTAACAATATTGGTTTTGTCAATATCGATAAGAAAATCGCTAAATATATCGATTACAAAATCGATAAAAACATGGATTACTATATCGATAAGTTCCGAAAATATCTATAGCAAAATCGATTCAATATCGATAAAAAAAATAGATAAAAATCCCGATAAAAATATCGATTATTATATCGATATGTCCCGAGAATTCCAAAATAGTTCCCAGATTGAATCTCTGTGTCTCTATCTATATCCTTTTCACTATAATTACCTTTATTTTAATCTTTCTTCCTCTATCTCCATCTTTACTTTTACCGGTATCCTCATCCTGACCTTTTTCTTTATATTTATCTTTGTTTTTATTTTTATGTTTATCATATTCTTCATATACATATTCCCCTTCACCTTTGCACTTATACATATAAGTAAAGTGTTTAAATTTACCTTGGTCTTCATTTTTGCCTTTATCTTTACGCATAACTCTGAATGACGTACACAGATGACTCGCGTTTCAGACGCACCGTCTATGGAGCCTATAAGATTCACTGTCATTTTCCCCAACGAAAAACGTTTGCTTTTCGTTTTTGACAATTGTACCATAGGGTACGTTACATATGTATGTATGCAAACGTTTCAATTACGTGAGAAATATAATTTTTTTTCTTTCTGTCGATTTTCATATCCAATTCAATTAAAAAAACGTTTTGAATTTTTTTTTTTTGTTTTATTTGTTGCAGCCATCCGTTTTGTGTTTAGTTTTTGTATGCACATATCTTTTTCTCTTCAGGTTCATTTCGTTTGTGGTTTTCTCTGTAACTACAAAACGACAGTAGTGTACCATCGCCAAAGTGAACTCAGCCAGTACAATACAGAACTGTTGAAGTAATAAATGAAGCGTAATAGTAGCGTACAATATACAGTTTATTTTCGTACACTGATAGGAATATTTTACACGCAAACATACATATAAATTTTATTGTCTTACCTGCAATATATTTTCTTTCCAGAGATGCAGAGAAAACTTTCGTTTATTCCTTTTAATTCTGAAAAAAGGAAACAGAAAGTTTAAGAAGAAAGTTTAAAAGTTAAGAAGAAAATCATTTAAAAGTTGTGTTTCTTTTTAAGTAGAAAAAGTCATGTTATTTTTAATGTGTATTACGCCACAATAATTTAATAATGTTTTTGCGCTTTTTACCAGGAAAAATGGAAAAAGCAACAAAGTCTAAGAGGTGGAAGTTACAGCTGTTATTTCGGAGATCTCCACATCTCCTCACCGTGGTTCGAAAAAAAATACAAGCGTTACGTATACGCCATGTGTATCTATTGGCGAACCCATGCTTTTACTGGCTTAGTTTGCAGAGCAAAGGCAAGTAATAAACAAAAAAAAAAAGGAAAGCATGTATCCTTCATACTTTCTATGTGTGCTTCTTCAACTCAAAATTCGTATGTTTTTTTTTCGAATTGATTTGAAAAACATTTGCTTGAGACGTGCATGCTTTCTATGTGCCAAACTATTAAGTCTACCATTTTTGATTCTTAGTAATTGAATTCCCATGATAATTGTTTGTTAGTAGGCCCCATGGCTAAGTAAATGCAATTTATTAATTTAGCAATTTTGTATGGAGGTGCGGAATTAATTAATAACTCGAGTAATAATTAAGGTACCGCAATACAATTTAGGGAATATGTAAATAGATGACCAAGAATAAATGGTGTGGAAAACGGGCTAAATCTGATAATAAACACGCCAACTTTTTATATAAGTGTAATTTTCAGATATATGGAGGCGCAGAATCAATTTATAATTGGAGTAAAAATTAAAATGTCTCGATAGAACGTAGGGAATATGTTAATAGAAGACCGAGAATGAATGGTGTGGAAACTTGGGAAAATCGCACAATAATCACGCCCATTTCTAATATAGTAGAAATATGAAATCATCAAAAGAAATTAGGCAAATTTTCACCCAAACGTTTTCGTTAACAAAGAAGACTGACCACTAAACAATTAAAAAACTGTGCAGTCACAACGAGTCACTGTATGGTGTGGTTTTTGGGCTAATGAATTTATCGGACGGTAGTTCTTCGAAGATAATGCCTGTAATGCGGTTACTTACTCTCTAAAGGCAGAGCACAACTCAACCGTTGTTAGCCCTGTAAAGCGAGGGCTAATGTTGACAATCATAAATATTTTGCAATCAATCACATGCCATTAAGATGTTGCATTATGTAGACTTACCTACAGAACCTACAGAGTTGTAGTACGCTCTTATAATTGTAAACGATTTTTTTCATCAAGCAGCAGCGAGATATAAGGCGCTCAAATGAAAGAGCTCAAAGATTTTTTTGTATGAGATATGAGCAGGGAAGAATGCACATGACGTATGAGTAACATTCTTTCCTGCTCATATTTCATACAAAAAATCATTGCGCATTTTCATTTCACTGTTCATTCCTTTTTTATTTACCCATAGATTTTCTTCTTTAGTAGCTTGATTTTGTTGTAACAGAACAGTCTTTAAGAAAAATGAAAAAAATTTACACATAATCTGTTATAAGTTTTTATTATGTTTCACCTGTGAGTAATCAAATCTTGCAATAAATTTTTACCCAACTTTCTGATGAGCCAGAGCATAGAAATTTCAAACTTAGCTCAGAAAACGATGACAATGCAATACGAAAGATTAATTAATCGGCTAGGTTCATATTTAAAATGTATATTATTTACATTAAAAGAAATAATTCCACACAAATACTGTCTGATAGGTGGCGCAGGAGTCGAGATATTTAGAAAATCTGTACATATGGTCCGATTTTTTTTCATGTTTTTATTACTTAAACGGAAAGAAAAAACTAAAAAAAAATGCCATTAGGGGGTCCGGGGTCAATTTTTTTTTAATAAGAACTAATAAAAGCTTGTTTTAAAAAATATATATTTTTTTAATTACGCACTTATTTATATTTGTTCCTTGTTAAAGTTTCAATCTTTTTTTGGTTGTTTAAAAACAAAAAATCTGGAATTATTAGTCATATTCGCAGAAACTATAAGGCCAACTAAAGAATGGAGGATTTTGTTAGCTTACAATAATTTTTGGCATAATTTTTGTTTAAATTGTTAAATTTTTTCATAAGATATACGTGATTAAGTGGAACCACTTTTTTAGCTGAATGCGGTAAATTGCGATTATTTCGTAAGATTATGCATTAAAAAAAAAATTAACTCGATTTTCGGAATCAACAAGTAATGAACTGGATAGTGGCATCCGGTGTACATTTTTCTTTTAACCAATGTAATTTATTTGCACTAATTTCTAAAGCATTTGTTTTTTGTGACCTTTGCACTAAACTGCTCTGACAACTGTCCGATTTTGTTCTGCCCTGCACTGCACTGCACTGTTCTACCCTATGTAGTGTGCACTCATCGAACACAACTATAGGTTCAGCTCCCAAGTAAAATTACATGCAGTTAAGCTGGCAACCGCTATCTACTTGTAAAATTCCAACATTTCTTTGCCATTTTTGCTCTACATAAATCAAATAAATTTGAAAGAAATATGGCTGATCTCAACAAGTTACTATGTAGTTGAAGTAATAAGGCAAAGGCAAACAAAAAAAAACTAATGCAGTAAAAACAATAAACTTGAGTCATCAGTTATTCCTAGTCAACAAATGTTACTGCTGCTGTGCCTCTATCTATTCAGTCCATCTATCAGCAGCATTGACAGCTCTACTCTTCCTTATTGTATGTGAGTCCAGTTATACAGTAAACGTATGACTAGCTGAGCCACCACCTACAGTGGGTATGGAAACCGGAGCTCCTACATTGGTACATATGTACAAACTTTGCTGCTCAGATATCTTCGCATCGGGTAGCAGTTGTGGTATTTTTTTTTTGTTTTTCTTTTTTAGTTATTCACTTCGCTCTCAGCATGTTTTCGTCCTTCTTTGGCTGCTACTCTGTGTCTTTTGCGTGCCTGCAAGTAGCCGCTTCAATTTTCTTATGTAGCTTGTGCTTACGTATTTACAACGAAGCTACATACATACCAAAATATGTACAGCTAACCAAAAGGTTTCTCGCTATTGTATATCTTTCAGTTCGTATAGAACTTGCATTTGAGTTTGTTGCCACCCCAATACAATATTCTCTTATCTATCTCTACCTAAACGTGTGACACCAGACACATTCCATTTTCAAAGACGTATGTACCGTTTTAAGATTTATGTTTCTTCGAAACCTTTCATCAGTGCTCTACTATTTATTCTTAGTTCTGCGCGCTTGTCCTTATTCAATACTCGTATGGCAACAAAATTGCAAAGCAATTCGAATATGGTAAGTTTATTTGTTCGTGTGCATTTCCATAATATTTACATAGGATAGTAATATTATGTTCCAGTTGTCATGACTGCTGTCATAGTCCCCCGCCAGGGAGAGGCATCTGTCTCACCTACTTCGCCTTTTCGAATTGTGATCATAATTGTTATTGTTATTATTCTTGGGTTATTGAATATTCGCCTACATTTGGTTGGTGACTTCTATTCTGTCGAGCTGGCGCGCCCCTTCCTCTACGTACTCTGGTATTCAGATTCCGTCATGTCATTGAAAGTGGTTGGACTAATCAGTTATCCTCATTTACTGATGGATTCTGTAATTATGACAATTCACCGAAGTGAAGAAGAAAAACGTGATAATTTCGAAAATAGACTTGCATTTATGAAAGCATATAGACATGACGTACAAACTTATATAATACATACATACGTATGCTTTACTCATTCACCCGAATAACAAACACAAGTGCATGTGCAAATGTATAATTTTGGGTGTGTATGTATTTGTATGCATACGTTTGTATGTATGTATATCTCATTGTGTCATCATATCCTTACTTCCATTGGTGAAGCTTTGTGCTTGCGCTTTGGGGCGTAAATCCGTTTGTTCTACATAATTCACTGAGATTTTGAGAAACGGTAACTAACACTCTCTAACGGATTCTAATTTATATGGTAATATATTGATGTTAGAATATGCATATACTACTGTTAGTATACAAACATAAATATGTACTCTTCAATACACTTTAATTTTCATTTTTTTTACTTTTTATATATAAATAAAGACACATCGTTAGTAAGTTAGAAAATATTAATCTTGATTAAGTTAAGAGCTAAATTTTGATTCACTAAAACGTTTTTCATTTGATGTTTTCCAAGCCCATTTAAAACAACCTTTTGGAAGAGTTGTACAGAATGCCCAAGAACACAAACTGTATAGACTCATTTAGGAAGCGAAGAGACTTTATCATTACATTGTAGGATTCTAGTGAGTTATGCGAAGTTTGCTGTTCACATGAGATATTTACGGATGCAGAAAAAATTAATACGATAAACAGCGAGGAATTACTAAAGTCTCTTTATGTGGTGCATTTAAATAGGCTTCGGGGTGGAAGCGGAGTTGTGGTGAGTTATGAGGACACAATATATCCAATATCGTAGTGTACATCCTCTATGAGATCTACATACCTAGTCTTCTACACTGAGAAAAATTTATAATATATTTATTTGCACAATTTTGAAAATATTTGGGAACTATTTATATATTTCAAAGCTGGTGATATTCTTCTAGGTTGAGCGAAGTCGTTAATTTAGTTGAAGAATTCGTTGGGTTTGGTAAATGCTAATTAATATTATTTCGATACATATTTCATGATATATATATATATATGGCCGGCATAAAAAAAACTACGAATTCGTTTAAGAATTCGGGCTTCGACTTTTTATTTTTTTATGCTTTTTCCACATTTTTTGTTTTTTTTTTTATATTTTCTTATATTTTAGCAATTACGAATTTAAACTTCGCTTTTGTTTTTTATTCGATTTTGTTTTCGTTTATTTATTTTTTACTTTTAAATTATTTTTTTGTAATTTCATTAAATCCAAGTGGTTGAATGCTTCTCTTACGAAAAAAAAATTAAATCAAACATAAAATTTAAGTGTGGATGAATCGTCAGTTATGTTTCATTCTGTCTCATCTTCACGGAACCTAT